GAGTGAGGAAGGGGATGTCACATTCTTGGGGGGAAAGTAAGGGTATCTGTAGAAGCCAGGCATTCAAGAAGAGGGTGCAAATTTCATTTGAGATGAGTCAAACGATTTTGCTCACTTCCTGGACTAGAAAAGTAGTCAATTAACCAGGTCCTTCAAAATATTAAAAATGGAACTGCCATAGGTCCCAGCAGTGCCACTTGTGGAAATGAAGGAGATTCATAATCCGCATTCATTACAGTGTTACTCATAATTGCCAAGATGTGGAAACGACCTAAATACTCAGGGATGAATGGGTAAGACAAGTGGTGTGTACAGGTAACGGAATAGTGCACAGCTTTCACAAAGAAGAGCATCTGGCCATTCGTACTAACAGTGAGCTATGTGAACTAAATCAGGAACATAAAGGCCACTATTGCATGATCCCTCTTCCAGGGGGAAGAGAAAAAAGTCAAATACAGTGAATATTTAGTCTTTTAAGTTTGTCAGAGTAGAAGACTCATTACCACGGAGCCCCGTCACTTTGAACACATGTATCGCATCGCTCTTGCCGCTTTCTAATGCAGTTCTGAAAATCCTCTTCTGTGTCTTTATCTATGGTCATAGATGCCTCAATGCCTTGAATTAATTAAAAATATTTACTTTTAGTAGTCATTTTGCTTTGGAGAATGAGCCAAAAGTTGCACAGTGCCAGATCTTTTGAATAAGATGGATAAGGACACATTGAGATGCTTTTAGGAGCTGCCTTTCATTAGATGGCACTCAGAGGCAGCACTCACATAAGCTTTGTAGAATCATGCTTCATAAAGACACTCAGGAAAGGACTCGCAGAACTGCTCCGGAAAGTAGCAAGCACAGTGGGATAAATGTATCCCAAGGAGACACAGAGAATTAATGCCAATGTGTCTTTACTGTAGTTCATTGAAAAAAACTTTGGTTAGTTTGATTGTACCTCATATAAATACATGCCATTGTTACTTGTCAAGAATACCTTAATAAAGCCGTAGTAAGGGGAAAAGCTATGTATTGTCTTGGTCGTTCAGCTAACAAATTTGCAGGACAGCTACTAAGTGCCATGTACTGGGACAGGTGGCAGAGAGGGAACCTCACTCAGGAAGGGACCGTGGATAGGAGGGATCCTTAAAAGGAGGTAAGGGCTTGTTCCAATTTTCTGGGGACTGTCTCAGGCTTGGCACTTTTTTTTTTTTTTTTTTTTTTGTCTTTTTCCTTTTTTCTGTACCGGAGATCGAACTCATGACTGCCTGCTTACAAGGCAGGCACTTATGCCACTGAGCTAAATCCCCAGCCCCTGGCTTGGCACTTCTAATCTCATGTAAGCCAGGACAACTGGCCCCCCTGTTGGAAAGTTCCTCCCGACCTAACATGCGTCCTCCAGGCTCAGCCTGCAAGGTGTGTGGGCTCTGGGGGCCTCCGAGCAGCAAAGGTGAGGGGTCCAGGGAAGAAGCAGGTAAAGAAGAAGAAAGCCAGAATAGTGGCAGGGACATGCGACAGGTAGTCAGGAAAATTAGGCCGAAAGACCAGTTCCATCCGGGCGCCTGGGGGACCTTCCTCTTTGAGTTTCTGTCCCCTCATGCGTAAAATTTGTACAATCATCTGGAATGCTGAGCCTACATTTAGCATGTACATGCTCACTGTGTCCAGCCTTCGGGCCCCTTTGTGCCCCGAGGGGTGAGGAGAAACTCATTCACCTCTCAAGCTGCCCACCTGAGTGTTGCCAAGAGAAACAAGTGACCGGAAGGACAGGGTCAGCGTGAAGAATGACCAGGACAGCTCTTCCCAGACCAACCACCTTCTTTTGCCACCCAGCATCTGGGATCAAGGTGACTCTGCTTTTGGAGGAGGTGGTGAATAATTCCTTCCACTTTCACAAAAGAGTCCAAAGTGGTGAAAGACAAGCTGAGATTTTGGCTGGGAGAAATTGGACTCCTGATTTCATTTCCCTGCTCCAAACAATGCCTGTGAGCACACAAAGCCCCAGCTCCCATCATGTCTGCTCCCTTGGCAATCTAGCTGCCGGGCCTCAGACCCTTCTGGATTGGCCAGATCTGGGCTGCGTAGGACCCCTGTCTAGTGTCACAAGTACAGGCTTAGCAAAGGACAGCTTGACCTTTCCACAGCCCCCTTGTCCTGAGGGGATATATTCCGAGACCCGTGGCGGGTGCCTGACCCAGAAGATAATACTGAGTTCTACACGATGATGCTTTTCCCCTACATGTGTGCCTCGGATAAAGTGTCATTTACAAAGCAGACACAGTAGAAAGATTAACCATCAAATGGAATAATTACAACAATACAGATTCTACAAGTCAGTCTGCTAACCTAGACTTTGTAACTATTGGACCTTGACTTCTTTCATTCTGTGTTTAAAATCCTTTTCTTAAAATTGTTTTATTAGTGCAAATGTGTAATACTTAATGCTTGCATTCCTCTGGGGAGTTGGTACAAGTATATAATTTATCTGAATTCCCTTTTTTCCATTCCCTTTCCTCTCCACCTACCTATCGATTCCTTCCTTTTTTTCTTTGCATATATTTGCAGTACATGTTTATTCCTAGTTCGTTCCTTTTGTTGCTTGCATAATATTCCAGCCTATACTTCTAAATGGTCTGGTTTTATCTTCTCCCATTGAAAGACACTGGAATTGTTTCCAGAATTAGACAAGTATGGCTGGCAGTGTAGACAGTGTGTGGGTGCTCTGGAGAAGGGGAGAATTTGTGTTTGGGGTGGGATAGGATGGGGGAGCATGAAAGTTCATCATACTGCTTAGAAGAACAGCATGCAATTTAAAACTTATGAATTGTTCATTTCTGGAAATTTCCATTAAGTTTTTTATTTTTCTTTCTTTTCCTTTTTTTTTTTTTTTTTTTTTTTTTTTTTGGCTTTTGGCTTTTGGTGGACCTTGAGGGACTGAACCCATGGAAAACAAAACCAGCATTTAGGGTATTACTGTGCTGTTTTTTCCATGGCCTGTGGGGGTAGCTCTAGGAGGAACCATAGAAAATTACTTGGGTCAGGTGGTACATATACACCTCAGAAATAGCCAGGAGAGGAGCCTGATCTTCAACTTCATTTTCTTCTGAAGGCACAGGTTTAGAAATCATCAAGAAACTGGGGTGCAAATCCTTGCTGTGACTTTAAATAAGAGGCTCCATCTCTCTGAACCCCTATTTCTTATGTAAAATGGGAGGAAATTAAGCCCCTTCCCCATGATATATCTGCTATGCAACTGTCTAGAAATTGCAGGTAATGCAGGTGGTGGATGATTCTAAATCATGGCTTCTGGGGTCCTTTGGGATCTTGGAACATCCCAATCACCGGGGCAAGGAGGGAAACACCACAGGATGAGGGGATAGAAGCGGATGGGTGCAGGCCAGGGGGAGGGAGAGTGGTGGGAGATGAGCTTTTCCAGCTCTGGAATAGTTCTCTAAATTTGCTGTTTGGAGAAGGTGAACGTTTTGAGCTCAGGGTGGGAGCGGAGGCTACCTAGTGAGACTGTGCCTCGAAATTAAAAGTAAAAAAAGATTGGGGATGTAGCTCAGTGCAAGGGCCCTGGGTTCAATCCCAGTACCACCAAAATGAAATGAAATAAAATAAAATGAAATAAAATCAAACACGTTTTGTTGGGGTGTGGGCTGATCCCAGGGAACTCCAGTGGAAGTCCCAGGAGCAGATGGGGAGAGGAAGGAGAGTGGACTGTACCCCAGGTGCTAAGTGTGACCTGGGGCCAGAAGCAGGGGATTCTCCAGGCTCTGCAGTCCCCAGTACCAAACCCTGTGAGCTACAAGAACTTTGGGAACAAAAGCAGTTAAATAGCCTGGCAACTGGGGGGCCACGCCCATGCCTCATGGAGGTGGTGGAGTTGTCTTGTTAAACCCGCCCACCATTCAGGCCTTTGTTGGCGCCTCAAGAAGAGCTCTTCTGACCACCCACAGCAGAGCTCTCTGCCTGACAGCTTGGGTGACTCAGGACAGAGGGGGTGAGGGGCTTTCCACACCTGCTCCACGGACTGCAGCCGGGCCTGAGGAGTGGGGGTGGGGGATGAGGCAGCTGCCTGAGTTCAAGACCCCAGCTTCTGCTTCCCTGGGGATGGGAAGGTGGCTGGGCCTACCTCCCCTCTCTTCCTTGTTCCTGATGGCTTTTGTGTCCTGTCTGAGCAAGCAGGAATCTCCTCTGAGGAGCAAATGAACAGAGATCTAAGCACCTTGGGAGCTGTGGGTGCCTCCTTTCTGGAGCTCTGGTTTGCCTTGGACACTGCAGGTGTTTGGCTGAAAAGCTGCAGCTTTCAGAGAAACAGCCAGAGTAAAGCAGCCTGTGGGCTTGGGCGGCCCCAGGTCCAGGCCTGGAGGCCCTTGGATTTCTCTCTATGGGACAGGGAGTCTGAGGTTCCTTCTTCCACACATAAACCCCTAATGTATACACAGTCAAGCCCTTCCCTGTGTCTGGAGGCTCTTTGTGAACAGCAAGGCCCACTCAGATGCCCAGACTTGGAAAGCCTTCTCTGGATCCAAGTACATGCCAGCCTCCAACTCCCCTAAGAACCCCCAACTGCATAGCCCAAATGCACTCAGATGCCCCAAACCACCCACATGTACCCAGCCATCCCTGCCTCCTGGCCTTTGCATACCAGTCCTGCCTGCCAGGAATGGCTCCCCCCATCCCCACCCCTCTAGGAATGGTGTCTGCAAACTTCTAACTTTCCATAAAACTGTGACTCTACCCTATGGCTTAGGCAATCCTCCCCTTCTGTGTCTCTAAGTCAGCACAGCTCCTACTAAGCCCTGAAGCCCAACTATGTTGCCCACCAGACAGAAGTTCCCAGAAACCTGGGACCCTGGTTTGCTCATCTCTTTCCTGGAGAGCTGAACACAGGCACTGTAAGAAGAGGTGTCAATTAACCCCCCAGGGAATGAAGGTGTGTGTGAGCTAACACAGCCAGAGATGCCTGGGTGTTGCTCCACAGATCCTGCTGGATATTTACTTTTGTGAACTGGTTCAAGTCCATCCAGGAAATGCAGCTTCATCAAGTCATCCCTGGACGACACTTCTCTCCTCAGAGCCAAAGCAGACCTGACAGCTGTCTCCCCAGAGGGACTTGAGAAGCTCTAGACACCCGTGCTACCTGCTTCTCTCCTCCCGGAGTCCAGCCCAGCCCCGCTTACCTGGCCTGCAGGTGAGGAGGAGGAGGCTGACAACCAGAGCCAGCAGGCTCCTGTGCAGGTGCTCCGAATATGTGGGGCCTTCCTGGCCCATCCTCAAGCCCAGCTGGGCTCTGCTCCTTACCTCCTGAAGGAGCCTTGGAGACTGAAAACAGCCTCGCCTGGCCCAGGCTTTGGGGAAGGTGTGGAGGACACACCTTGCTGAGCTTCTCAGGGAGGGCAGGGCTTGCCCTAGGGGGAAGCAGTGGGTGCCACCACTGGCAAAGGTCAGCTGGCATTATTCAGAGCCACACAGTGACTAATACCTTTCCGCCAATACCCACTGTGACGGGGGACCTGAGGGAACCCCCACCCCAGACACAGTCTGAGTCTGGTGCCAAAGCAAGGGGGCCCCACTGGTCTGGGTCTCTCCAGGGTAGAAGAAGGATGTGGTCACCTAGGTACAAATTTCTCCTTTTCTCTAAGTACCAGGATTCTACCTGACACCTTCCCACTCAGAGGCTGGCACTACCAGCACCCGGGGGAGGTGCAGCAGCCTGTGGAGGGTTTTGGTATGTGCAGGGGAGGCTGCCTACTCACAGGGAGCTGCCCGGATATAGGGAAGCCCTGGAGGTGGGGGGGCTGAGCTTATCCGCAGCTTCAGAAGCATCTCCCTACCCCTGTAGTCTCCCACCAGGTGCTGCAACCATGGCCACCTTGGGGGCCTAAGTCCTTTGTTACCCAGCTAAGCCTTTCACCTGCTCTGGATTGCAGAAGAGAGGGCTGCAGAGGGCTGGCACAGGGTGTAGCAAAGGCTTTTGGATTCTGTCCCCTGTTTGTAAGCCTCACAACCTCCCTCACCTTGGGTTAACCAAATGCCTGAGCTATGAAAACAACTACTCTGCCATCAAGAAGGGTACATTTGAGTCATTTGTGAAAAAAAAAAAAAAATGGATGTGTCTGAGACAATAATGTTAGCTGAAATAAATCAGGCACACAAACTTAAACATCATATGCTTTCTCTTAAAGCAGAAACTCAAGGTATAAACAAGGAGCCAAGTGCAAGGTAGATCATAGGAAGCAGGGAGAGAGATCTGTTGGGAAAGCAAAGGGGACCAAAAGATGGAGGGGAAGGGAATGAAAAAAAAAATTGAGATGTGTTGTATCTTGGTAGTGCAAACCAGAAAGTAAAAGAAACCAAAACAGCAGACATGGGAACAGGCTCTACTTCCATCCAGTGGATGAGACTTCTTGAGGACCGTGGTCCGAATTCCCCAGGTTCATGGCACTCAGGGATCCCCACCGCTCCAGCCTCTAACAGCCTGATGAGGGGAGTTCGTCCTCGCTCATCTCTCACACATCTTCCTTCAATCTTGTGCAATCCAGACTTCTTTTTTTTTTCTTTTGCAGATTTCTTAAACCTGCAGCCAGAGCAAGCTTATCAGCAGCCTGCATCTCCCACTCACCACGCTCCCCTGCGTTTTCCAGTTAACTTCCTTTCCTCTCTGCTTGCCATTCACCTGTGGCTCTCTGCACAGACAGACCTACCTTGAGCCCCTGGGACATTCTGAGCCTGCAGCCCCTGGAGTGAGATGGACAAATGAACAAGTGCAGGTGACAGAACTGAAATCCAGAAGTCAGTGAGAGACACTAGACTTGAGAGGAGGAAGGCATGGAATCGGGGTGGGCTTCCTAGAGGAGGAGGTATCGCTCCACCAAGATATGCTGGAATCAGCTGGGCTGGGGAGTTGGGAGTTGTTTTGAGAGACAAGACAGCATTTGCAGGTAGCAGAAAGAGAGGAAGGAAGTTGCAAATTCAGTCTGCCTCCTGTTCAATCCCTGCCCCTCGGTGCCCTATCAAGGCACCTACTGTCCTTAAGAAATAAACAATCACAGAGAAGCTGAGGCCAAGTCTGTGGACCCTCAGGATGGTCACTGTGTTCTACTATTTCTCCTGCACTTCCCAGATGGGAAGACTAGGTGAGCTCCACCTCCCAAAATACCAGGACTTTCAAGATTAGGAACTGATCTAGAACCTGGCTCTGGACCCATAGAACCGTCAGCAAATACTGGTCTTGTTGAAGCAGGTAAACCTCTCTTTCCCTAGGATGCAATGGCAAACAAGTACCCTGAGCACCATCCGTCCACAAGGCCTCTGGTCCGGGAGCTGCCCTGTCCTGACAAGGTCCTGGGTGAAGGGAGGGCAGGATGGATGTGTTCAGATGCATGACGGGTAATCAGAGCAGCTATGTGTTGAGCACCTGTTATGAACAGGGTGTGGCTTCTAGTCCTCACCAAGCAGGGGTTTCCCCTCACAGCACCTCTGCAAGGCAGTTGCTTTGGAGAGGGCATCAGGGTGCTGGGAACAGGACCCGAGGCCGGTGCCTGCTGCATAAGCGCTGGAGCATGGAGCAGCACACTGAGTCCAGTGCCTTTGCTACTAATGGCTCCACTGCACAGATGAGAAAGCTGAGAACCAGGGCTGTACCCCCACCCCCCAGCTCACTCAGCTGGAACAGAGCAGAGGATGAGAATTGAATTCAGTTTCAGTCAGCACTGTGTTTCTCCCCCAGGGGACATCTGACAGTATCTGGAGTCACTTTGTTATGGAAAAGGCAAAGGGTTTCTCTTAGGAGCATCCAGAGTGTGGAGCTCAGGGTTGCAATTCATGTCCTGCAACCCTTGACAATGAATTACCCGCTCTGCATGCCCATGGTGCCACAGCTAAGGAAGCCTGGTCTGTCCTCATCTTTCGGTGTGTGAGAGGTACGTGTGGATAACACATTTCCATCGTATCCACTCTCCCTGTTACCCATCCTGGGGAGAAAGGTGGGTGTGAGGGGAGAAATGGTTAAAGTGTGTCATATCATGTACAAATCAGTAAAATGAAATGTGCAAATCTTTATTACCAATATGCATTAATAAGAGATGTGGAAAAAGACAAACCCTGGTCTAAAGCAGTTCTGTGCCATGGGGGTTTTCATTCTTATGTTTTGTGTCTGCACTGATGGAATCGTTTGTTCTGTTTAAGCTTACTTTAAGAACTGACTCAATTCATTTAGTAGGGAGTTTATGAGGACACTAGACAACAACCTGAATGTATTTTTTCAACCATCAATCTACATACAGATCAAGTATTTATGTACAAATTTAGTATCTGTGTTGAGATAGGCCATAAACTTTAAACTCACACCAGATTTAGGAAACACAGTAGCAGCAGCGGAGCACTTTGAGAGGCTGAGGGAGGAGAACTGCAAGTTTAAGCCAGCTGGGGCAGCTTAGTGACTGAGAATATCGAAAGCTTTCCCCTCACCTAGCCCTCCCCAGCACCACAAGCAGGCACTGGTGTTGGGAGCCTGGGAAAGGATCAGAAATGTGCACCCTGACCCCACAGTGCTACGTAAAATCAGTCAGACATGGAAGGTTACGTGTTGGGTGGTTTCCCTTACGTGAGAAACCTGAAGTCTAATCTAAAGAGCAAAATAAGAGACAGATGATAGGAGACAGGGAAGGAGGCAGTGTAGAGATAGGAAGAGGATCTGGGATGGGGGGTGTTGGGAAGTGATGAGAGGGAGAGGAGGAGAAAGGGAAGTAAAATGATCAAGATGCAGTAGGTATGGCTGCAGATTTAGCTCAGCAACAAGCACTCCTGCCTGGCAAGCCTGATTTCAATTGCACGTACCAAAAAAAAAAAAAAAAAAAAAAAAAAAAAAAAAAAGGAAGATACAGTATGTGTAGGCGCTTATTCCCCAAAAGAATAAGAATGTATTCATTACGTAGTTTTAAAAGGAAGGATTCAAGGTACAGTTTCTACTGAGTGCTATCACCTTTGCACCATCAGGAAATGGTAGTCATTAAGTTGAACCATCCTGCGCTGGGGACTGTCTGGATTGGCTTAAAGAAAATATGCCTTTGATTTCACCTGCATCTTTGTACTCTTTCAACTGGGAAATGCATACTTGTGAATGTGATGGGGTTGCTGTTGTGGGGATCTGGGGACTCGCTCCATAGCCCACTGCTGGTCTCTCTTCTGTCTTCCCAGAGTCTTGCTCCAAAGTCAGGGCCCAGCCGGGAGGAACCCATAGTTCTCTCTCTGCCCTCGGGGGTGTGTAGAGCCCCTTGGGCACGGGGTAGGCTGAAAACAGGGTTTTGGATGCCCTGCTCTTGGAGGTCTGCCAGTCCTGAGGGTGCAGAGGGGGGCAGCCTGGGAGCCAGGAAACCTGTGACTCCTGCTGTACCCAGCATGTAGGGCTGTGGCCAGCTTGGCAATCAGATGGCATCAGGAGAGATCAGACAGGGTGCAAGACCCACAGGGGACCACAGACACCGCTAGGGCAGAAAGAGGAAGAGAAGCTGGTAGCAAAGCCAGAGAAATAGAAGAAACCCACAGTGTTGTCACTGAATAAGTGAAAGAAGCCAGTTTCAAAGGAGGAGCGAGGAAGCCCCGCTGTTAGCACCGCAGTAGAGGTGGAGGTGATGGAGGCTCCAGAGAAGCTGCTGAGAAAGGGCTGTTTGCAGGGAGGGAGTGACCGAGGGATGGGGAAGGGGTGGAATAAAAAGGGGATTGATGCGAAAATTAGAAAGACAAATGTTTGCAAATGGGAAGGGGAAAAAGAGTGGGAGGCAACAGGGAAGGCTGGGAGGGGGAGGGGTGAGGAGAGAAGAGCAAATCTTCCCATGTAACCATGACAACCAGGAGGGCTGCAAACTAGTGCCTGTTGAAAGTTTTTTTTTTTTTTTTTTAAATAAAACCTGAACAGTAAAAGGGAAAAAGAAAGATGGAGCCAGGTAGCGGGACACACACACACACACACACACACACACACACACACACGACTTGAAGAGGAAATGCTGGGAGAGCTGTAGGTGGCTGGGTTCAAATCTCCACAGCAACTGTGATGACAACAGTGATAGTGTTTACTGAAGGCAGTGCATGAGGGAAACCAGGAAGAGGGGGCCCAGGGCTAAGGGCACTGACCTTAAATTCTAGCATTACAAATGGCATTTGGTCAGTATTTCCTCTAGGCTACGCCCTTCTTGGAACTTAATGACTCACTGATTTCCCAAAGTAAGCAGGCAGTGTGTTGTGTTCATCTCCCCATTTTACAGAAGAGTAAACTGAGGTACACAGAATGGATAAACCATGCATGGTGGTGCAGGCCTGTAATCCCAGTGCTTTGGGAGGCTGAAGCAGGTGGATTGCAAATTCAAGCTTAAAATAAAATTCAAAAAGGTCGGTGCAAAAAAAAAGCTATACAACTCACCCAAAATTGTGACTGTGGACACTCATGAAGTGTTTGCATTTATATAAATTCAAGGGGAGATGAGACCAATAGAAGGCAATGGAAGTTCAAAGAATGCCTGGAGACACCTTCTGGAAAGAGGTTTTGGTTAAGAAGGAGATTTCATACTGCAGCAGTTCTCAATGAGAACAGTTATGCTGCCCACTCTGGAGTATCTGGCAATGTTAGGTTGTCACAGCTGAGAGCTGTGGAATACTCCTGGCATTTAGTGGGTGAAGGCCTTCCTATCCTGCAACACACTTGACCCACCCTCAGATAAAGACTTCCAGTAATGCAGAGGAGGAGAAACCCCATTCCAGAGAAGGTGCAAATGTCCAGTGCCTTGCACTATGAGGTTATACATGCTCCCCTGGTGAGGGTCTTAAAAAGTCCTCCAAAGGCCTGAGGTAGGATAGAAGAAATAATTTAAATTAAAAAAAAAAAAAATAGAAAGGAGAAAAGGAAGTCAGGATTTTAAAACTGTACTTTTAAGAAAGACAGCAACTTCAGGACACAAAGTGACTCAAGCTTTTTTCCTTTCAGGAAACTCAAAAAATTTGCGATGCTCTTAAAGACACAATGAGCCTGTAAACTGGGCTGGAGCTCTGTCCTTCTGGCCTGTGAATTGCACTTCCTCCATCCGATTAGCTATATTAGCAGGCAGGTTTGACATAGCAGATGGGTCACTGATACACTGTAAGGTCACACAATCTAGATCCCCCATCTTGAAGACACCCCCAACCCCATAAATATACCCATATATCTCATTTTTCTCCTAGCATGCTTCACTCTTGAGTGTATCCTAAAATCTCTGCCTAATGAACCCTTCTCTGATCTCTTAAATGATGCCCTGAAAATTCTGTTCCTGTGACAAGTGTTGAGGAACTTGTAGACATCTATTATTCTACAAAAGCATGAAACGATTTCCTTTTGTCAACCTCAGGGATCTCTCAGACTCCAGCAGGGACAGGACCACGTGAAAGTCAGGGGTCCTCAGCTGGGTCACTCTTGGCAGATGGTGGAACTGTTAGAGGTGGGGCCTCAGGGCAGCAAGTCAGGTCCTTGGGGTCCCCCTTGAAGGGGAGAGTAGCTGCCCACCCCTTCTTTTTCCTGGCTTTGCTTCCTGGCTACCTGCAGGTGAATAGGCCACTGCTCACCCCCACTGTGGTATACCCTGCCACCACAGGTCCAAAGCAACAGGACCAGGTGACCCTAGACTGAACTCATGCAGATCGTAAATCTTTTAAGTACTCTGTCACAGGGTAGAAAGTTGATTAGCATGTCCTGGGCAGTTTACAGAGTGTGTCTGTACTTCCACAAAGAGTTTTCATTAAAGTTAACATCGAAAATTATACCAAGTTTCTATGAATAATATCTTTCACTTGAATAAGGAAAGCTCTCTACTTATTGGATGTTTTCTTTCTCTGCCTGTTGCCAACCTGCTCTAAATTCACCTGCGAAACCCTCAGTGGCTTCAAGCTGCAATCGATTTAAATTCTACATTGTTTTCAGACTGATTCTGCAGCCCTGGTTTCCAGCTCCAGCCACTTCTTGGCCTTCTCTCTCTCTGCTGTCTCTCTCTGCTGTAGCACAGGGATCTCCTCCCTGCTCAGGCGGGGACCTTTGCATGTGACATTTCCTCTGATTGACTTTGTATACAACTGGCTCCTGCTGTCCCTCAAGCTCTTCTCAGAGGTCACCTCTTCAGTTAGCTCTGCCTTTACCATTCTCCACTGCCCCGCCCTCTCTGCCTCTCACCACCTCATCAATCTCTTTTTCCCCCCAGCACTTGCCAATTTATAAACATTAAATTATTTTATTATTCATGTGCTTACTGTCTCTCTCTACCCATGGTGTACAGGGACTCTGCATCTTATTCATGGCAATATCCGCCCATATGACACACAACAGACTCTCAATGATCTATTTTTTAATGAACCAGGCATGGTGGCATATGTCTGTAATTCCAACTACCCTGGAGGCTGAGGCAGGAAGATTGCAAGTTGGAGGTCAGCCTGGGCAACCAAGTGAGATGCTGTCACAAAACAACAAAAGCATCCATTAAATGAGAAAACAGTTTTTAAAGTCCTAGAATTTCCTTGATGAGGTCAAGAAGGAAACCCTGATTTTTTTTTTTTAAATGTAGCTACTATGGAGGATAGAACAGTCTAGAGAACCTGCTTTCCCAGGCGCCGTCAGTGAGCTGCCATCTTGTATCCTTCATTTCCAGAACCTTTTATGTAATTCTTGACTGCTCCACACTATGTCTGAGTTCCTGTCCTCCTGCTGTCTCGGCAGTGACTTTCTGGAACAGTCTCTTTACTGTGTTCTCTATCATTTAAGACTGCTTTAGTCTTTGTGAGCACCTATCCTTCCAGCCAACAGAGTGACCTTTTTAAAAAATGCAGAACCAGCCTAACCCCACCCCTGTCCAAATTCTTCAGTGCCTCCTCACCCTTCTCACTGCCTTAGGATCAATCTGTC